CAATAGGAAGGAAACGAAAAGCAGTAAAGATGTAGCATAACCTGACCACTCGATTTGCGAGGAGGAACGAGGAACGTAAACAGCGAAAGCCGTGATAGATATTGGCTTCAGAAGTTTTGGTCAAAACAATAGATCTAATGAGGGCGAATTATGTACCAAGAACTGTTAGAATTGTTAAGCGTGTGTACGATTGAACAGATTCTTCGAATCGATTGCAAAATTGGGAGAACCCCCAGATTCTTTTAGATTGGTCCAGATTCCTACATGCACACGGAAGGATTGCGGAGAACTAAACGGGAACATCTGTGTGGGAGGCAAACAAGGCCACTTAAAAGGCACCCATGCAGGAAGTTTGTCAATAGAGATGTGCATGTTATTTCTCCCAACTGTTTTCACAAAGAATTATACAAAAACGATTAAGAAGAATTGGTTTAAGACGAGGGCTAACTCGCCAACCTAAAGGTCGTGGTATTTTTAGCTCTGAACTGCACCTTTCTTGTCATTGGTTTATTTGACAAGGATGCCTGTCAGCAGTTCATCGGATACGTGTTCTCAGCCAAAACAACGTTGTTCGGCAATGGGTAACAGCATGCAAACCGAGTGAGGTCACGTTGTTTTATTTTTCAAACTCTTTTTTCGCTTCTCTGTCGTGTACAAGAAAATGGCCAGGAGTGAAAATCTTCCAGATGTGTTGAGCGAATTCTTGAAAGCAATCGATGAAATGAGCAATACAGTTTTAGTTCCGCATCGCCTTGTTGACATCCCAAAGGAAAGTCCATTCCCGGCTGGAAAATGCCAATGCGCCACTGCTAAAGATAGTTCTCTCGTCGAACCAGCCAAAGAGCTCAACGACTCGGGTCTATACGGCACTTATCACATGCTGTTGGATATCAAGGAGGAGTTAACAACGGGAAAGAAAACTTCGGCTGAAGGATGCTTTCGATCGCACGTGAAAGTCGTTGTAGAAAGCATGAAGTATCTCACATGGCTTGCAAAGTCTTTGACGCAAAATTATTGTGAAGAAGTGGGTAGCGGCGAGGAAGGTGATGACTTGCGAAAGAACAGATTTTGAGTATGGTTCGTTTGAGGATGGATGCAAGTTAAATGGAATGAGCTTAGGACTCAAATTTGAGAAACCGACTAACGAAGTCTTCAAGGTAAACTTGTATTACCGGAACGTTTAACAGAAGAGACCGGCTTTGACTAAAGGGAACTTCCTTTCGCTCTAATTTCCTTACTCTAAAATGACGCGAAAATCTGCAAGATTTGTGCTAATAATTCTACGATAACAATATATTCTATTCTATTAATAGTATACTGTTGAACGGAACAACAATGTTTTAGGTTATTTAATTTTGTTAAGACTGGTATCATAAGCTTCTCTGTATCTGATTATGGTATCATAAATTCTCGTATAACGTGTACAGCGTGTAGCCTTCCGGAGTTTAATGTTACAGCTCACATGATTAAGGCGACAGATCTTTAAAAATATGTTTATTACCAGTAGTTGGCACTTTGGATCTGTAACTTAGATTACCTTAGATTAGCGTAGAGCGTGCAAACTGGGTAATCATACCTATACCGAAATATATCTTGTGATGCGGGATAAATGCAGATATTTTTAAAGCGCGTGAAAAGTGTAAATTGTGAAATGACTAATTATTGCAGCGGGTAAAAAATGTCTAAAAAGTTAAGATAAAAATAAATAGATATCTGTTTTCATTGTAGTCTCAAGCTTCGACAAACTTATTCCAGAAGATCTACCACATGTTCCTTCGTTGATGAAATTTCGTTGATAAATGAATACCACTTCCTCTCCATCCGATCAAAACGTTACATAATGACATTAGATTCTCTCAAGATGTATTTGTTTCGACTATAAATTAATCCTCTTAACTTTCACCGGAGACCACCCTTTTTCCTTTGTTAAGTAATTATTAATCTTGGGACCTTTCGAAGTTTTCTTGATGTTACGAGAACTTTGTACGTGGTGAAGCACTGTAAAATTTGGTGACAGTCTTTCGTCACGCAATCTTTCTCTTTCACGCAATCTTCTCTTTTTTACCGCGAAAGAAACACGTCCAAATCTATAGTGTTTGTGTCAGGATCTATTGTGGCCCGTAATTAAATATTTTAATCCAAAAGCTCAAGGCAACGAGGCCAAAACATAAACATTCTAAAAAAGATTTTAACATTTTCAACCATAAGTCTCGTAAGTTTCGCTTCCGGACCGGAAGGCCTTTAACGTTATTTAAGTAGAGATTATTCAAACTTTAGTTTTAATACGAAAGAGATTTCGGTAGTAATCCTCCCATGCTGTGTGTTTCTGTCTAGAGCACAAATGGGTAGGAAATTGCTGTCGAAAAAAAAAGGATTCTAGCCTTCGAGGAAAGCCGTCCTTTTCGTCTAGTGTTTTGATCGAATTTTCGCAAAACAGATCCTCTAAATTCTAGAATATTTCGCTACCCAGGAAATATCTACCAACAGCACGATGGACAGTCTTGGCCCTTTCGAGTTCTTGGAAAAGATAACTACTGTTACGTAGGTTTAATCAACAAGGTTCATGTTTTACCGCACACACGGAAGCGCTTTAACTTAACGGCGTTCCGCATTTGTGATGTTTCAGCGCGAAGGGTGCAAATTAACGTCAACGTTACAATTCCGCTTCCTTCATGTCGTAGGATCCCTTGTTCACTGAACAGTGAAATACGTTTCTTCCTTGTGCTAATTTAAGCAGCTTCTCCGCCGGAGAAATTTGAAAACGTAGCTTTATTTTTACGGTTAGCCCACCGTCCTCACTAATCCGTCAAGAACACGGTGCTTTTCGTAAACGCTTTTCAAACCGGAGGAATTTGAAAAAGCCGAAGGGAAAACATTTTTGAAACGAAGCTTTTCAAACACGATGGTGTCACAAAAATCATGTGATTTCCCTAACGGAGTCTTCCTCAAACACAAATCCAAAATGATCGATGTGTTGCGTTTTTAAATTCTTCCGGCATTTGGTGATTTTTGTGGCCGAAAAATTTGATGCGTGTTCAGAGTGAAACCTCCGTTTTCGTTTTCCTCCGGTGTAATGTGGACGGAGTCTTGGATATCTAGAGACAAGAATGGTCTTAAATACGAGTTAATCCATTTCAAAATATTCAGGGCAGCATGTTCATCTCATGAAATTTAAAGATTAAAAACGCACCGCTCTAATTTGCAAAAGGCCACTTTTGTGGAATTTTGAGATTTTTGAACACGATCAGACTGGCTGAGTGTCCCCAGTTGTTAAACTGGTATTTCCAGTTTTCCTTCTTTCTTTGGCGGCGCGCATAACTAACACGCACAACGCGCGCTCTTTTCGATGAAAATACGCTTATATGCATGCATGGATGTGTCTTTATCCATCTGTTCTATCGAAGCGATGTTTTTGCAATACTTGCCGAGACAACATGCAAGTGAGGCAAAATAACTTTTGAAACAACTGTGGCTCATGCTGGTAAATTGACAAACCTAAACCTGTTTTGTTATTTTTCTATTTTTATCCAGAAAACCTGTTTTCGTCGCCTCCGAAAGGCCTGTCTTGCTTTCTCTGTTGTGTCTCGCGAGAAACGCATAGGAGTCTTAACGGCGATTTTCTTTACAGGTATAATTTTCCTCGCCTATCAGCTTTCAGCTCAGATCCATTTCGGCTTAAATGTTTGGCCTTTTGTCTGGTCGTTGAGGGGAAAACAGTTTGGCAGTCACACTTTTTAAAGTCCCTTTTCAGCAGGCATTAAAAATAAAAAAAAAATAAAATAAAAAAAATGACCTTTTCCCGGTAATATCGGAGCTGCAGATTACACATAATCAAAACAAGCCGGGCAATTTGTCAGGAGTCAGTTGCTCAGATAAGTCTGCAAACGAGCCAAGTGGCCCATCAGGCCGGAGCTTATCCTGGTTTCTGTAGCATGAAGCGACTAGGAATATTTCTACTTCCTCCTGGACGGGATGCTAGTCCATCGCAGGGTTACCCCCAGCATTAAATTCGCACATCTTGGTGGAGACAAGCACTGTTAGAGTAAACTGTCGTGCTGTCTTCTCCGGAACGAGCGCGGTCCTGGTTTGAGTCCTGGCCGGGGACATTGTGTTGTGTTCTTTGGCAAGACACTTTACACTCATAGTGCCTCTCTCCACCCAGGTGTATAAATGGGTACCGGTGAATTGAATGCTGGGGGTAACCCTGCGATGGACTAGCGTCCCATCCAGGGGGGAATCGCTTCAAGCTACTGAAGCCGGGAAAAGCCAGGGCGTAGGGTACATCGTTCATGAGGACCTTACGCGTTAATTTGTTGGATTTAACATCTGGAAAGGCCAAGAGTCGAAAACTACGGATGAGCAGACGGATGAGCGGAGTCTTGCGAGTTTAGTACTCTCTGGCCTTTAAATATGCCTAGCGATTCTGCATCCCTAACATGTTGTGGAAGACTGTTCCAAAGGAACGGGGCAACAACAGAGAAAGCACGGCGGCCATAACTATTTAGTTTGAAACCAGGCACGGCGAGTAAATTTTTTTTTGCAGATCTTAAATAACGTCCCGGAATGTAGCTGTCAAGGAGATCCTCAAGCTCAACTTAAGCTCAAGAACAACTTAAGCTCACGAGAAAGTTGATATTCACTAGCATTTAGCAGCAGCCGGTTTTAAAGAAAATTACCGAATGAACAAATAGATTCCATTTTGACATGCGTCTGTTCAGTAATAAATCACAGATGACGTCAAATTGCGGTAAGTACAAATATTTAGATGTTTTTACTACAATTTGACGTCTTCTCATTTTTGACGTCTTCCCTCTCCAAGAAGAAGGGTTCAATCTCGATCCAGTTAACTATTTTCTTCGCATTATTTTGCTATGAAGCAGTTGCTGGGGAATGTCAACTATGTGTAGGACTAATCTCGAATAGATACAAGCAGTATACGCAATCTGAAAAAGTCATCTGCCAGACGTTTTCACTGTGAAGTCACATTTTAGTGCCAGTGTAACTCAGTATAAGCCCCCTTTATAACTTCAGTGCCCTTATGTTACTAGTAATGTCTGACTAAAAATACGCCATTATTTTTATAATTTCATGAATAAAGACTCGGATTTGACTTTTCAAAGTTATCACCTTCGTGATAGTGCCCTCTTTAGCTGGAGCTCATGATTTGGGAAGTAATTTATACTTACTCGAAAAAGTTAATTCGTCCGTGCCTCTGGTTAATATCCCAGACTTCCCTCAGACTGCCAACTTCTACTACTCCTCCGACAGCTATAATGATGAGACCCGCCAGAATAATCACCGACTGAAACACGTCTGTCCACACCACTGCTCTTAGGCCACCCTGGAGAACAAACAATTCAGATACCACTTGGATTCGATATATCCCCTAGAGTACTTCCTTGGAGGGGTCAGAATGCATTTTGCTGAGTTTGGTTTTAGGTGTTTCAGTCAATTGATGACGGTTAGCATTTTTGAACCATTTCAATCTTCAACCTTGTAGCATACGCGAAGAATCTGCAGTAATTTTAATCCATGAATAGGGTACGTACCCGCTGGTTGCATTTTGCCTCAGTTTTTGAATTCGTTCTGGTCCTGGAGCAAAACTAAGGCTTACCCCACGAAGGCATTAGCTAAATAAATATCTCTTATACGTACCAGAGATGTATAAAACACGCAAACCACACCAGTGGCCAAGATAGAAACTGTCAGAGGGATGCCTGCAACTGCGGTGAAAGACCAGCAAGTTAATGGCATACGATTGAAAAGCGAGAAGATATTATTTTCAAATGCAGCAAGCAAAAAAACTACACTGGTATAACGTCTGTTTATAGTAATTTAAGCGTTGAAAAGCGCAGACAGATATCCAAAGGAAAAGTGTTTCAGAAACTCCCACGGGATATTGCCAGAAAAATTGGCTGGGGGTGTGCGGTCCGCTTCCTATAAATAACCCTTTTTATATCATGACGTGACCAAAAAATTGATACCCAACAATATATTTAGGACCTGACCGTTCAGAATCAATAACCTGTTTCAGACCTGCATTAGCTTATAACTAGTTCCCTTGTTCAGACTGATCTTAAAGGCTTTTGTTGATGTGAAGGGCTTTTGTTGATGGTCTTATTGATAATGATGAAAAAGTAGTTTCTTCTAAAAAACATACCCAATTAGTAGACTAGAGTGTAAAAACCAATATGACAAAAAACGATACCCTATTTCAAGTCGCACATACCTATATATATATCACCCAAATAAGGAAATACTCCCCTTCCCTCGTCCCGGGCTCCTTCCCGACATGGGAGCTATCAGGACACCCAGCTAACTTCAAAGGCATTCCCCAGCCCAACGGACCGATATATTTATCGACGTGTTTGTTGTTCAGTAATTTGCTCTCCCATTACCCTTCACTCACCAGCTTCCGGTGCCAGCGATGGAGCGAACAGCGCCACGAACAGGTACAGAGTCTGGGTGAGAAAAATAAAGTTGAGACAGGCATTATATGCTCCTAAGAAAAACTTCTTCACAATACAGCAGAACACAGAATGCTGAATACA